AAGACCGTTCAACTTTCAAAACGTTCGAAAACCGAGACACAATGGGTGGTCTGCAAATTTCATTGAGAAAAATGAGAAAAATACAGCGGAAGCCATTTGACTTCCGAGGCATGTTCAAAAACAGAAGCATTTGCTTCCAGGTTTTTGGTGTTCGAAAACTGAAACGTTCGGCAATGGAGACATCCGAAAACTGAGGTTCCACTGTATATACAAAATAATTAAGAAGGGGATTTGTTGTTAATAATGTCTTTTTTATATCAAATAAAAACTTAAGCAGTGCCATCTAAACATTATAAACCAATATGGGTTTTACACAAAATGATTTGGGTCTTTAGCATACTTGCGTACAACTCTATAGTTCCTATTCTTATTCTTATTCTTATTATTTTTTCTTCCCTTCACCATAAGGTGACTCAGTTAATATTTCTTTGTTAATAACAACAGAATCACAGTAATGACAAACAATTGTAAGAAGTGGAACTACCGATCTGTCTATAGATGTTGGATTTATCAAGCTCGGTCAAGTAATAAGCCTCATGGTTTGGGGTTTGTTTTTTTCCATTTCAAGCCATTTCCCTTTTTATACCAATGATTAGCATCCAAATTGGATTTGCTTACATGATTTGTTTTAGCTGCGATTTTAAATTATGATATTTGTTTAGCATTAACTGGAAGTTCCCCCAAAGCTCTGCTCAGTAAAACCTTATTCCGCTGGCTTTAGTTGCTGAACTAGGCTGTTGTTATTTAGATTAGCTTAATGTAATGATATGGTTGGCTGGTGGTGCTGAGGATCACCATTACTCTTTTTCATGCAGCTAATTCAACAAATGTTTTGCTAACACTGATTAGAGTTGAAACCTGCCTTCATGGCTACTTGGGGATTGTATATACAGTGTTTCCTTTAGGGATAGGTATAGAGGCCGGCTAAAAGGTTCAGAATGCAGCATATACAAGGCAGAAACTGAACGAGCATAACAAGGGAATAAAGTTATCTAGCAGGGGTACACACAAAAATCCATTTTGGAAATACATGATTTGATGTAGGGAGAAGACCCAAGCTTATATGACTGAAAGGCAGGCACACTTAAGGCAGCCTTTTCCAACCTCGTGCCCTTCAGTCTGGGGATGGGAGTACCTGTCAGTTTCTTAGATTCAGTTCTCCACAATCTTTCAGCCATTTTAAAAAAAGAACTTGTAAAAATCTGTGTATTTGTCAAAGCAGCATACGAAAAATGTACTGTTGGGAGAAATTCAAACTAAAATGCTAATCAATTTTCATGAGGATTTGGAAAAATAAATCGGTCACAAACTTCTGCAGAAAGGGAACTGAATTTGAGATTGGGAAAATGAGAAACCGAAACTGACAGATCCGTCCATCCCTCCTGAACAGCCACAGAGACTTTGGCAGAGGCCTCCCTCCCATCTGCCAGTGTTGCCATGGCAGCTGAAGTGCATGAGGGGAAAACTCCAAAAGCCAAGCAATCTGATGCAGCAGCAGATGTTGCTAAAGCATGCATAGGCCCTAATCCAGCCCTCAAAGTGGGGAGGGATGCCATTGCAAGGCACCCTCTTTCTTTTTCAGGGAACATAACGGAGTCTGGCCTAACTTTGGAATGATGTTATCCACCTTCCTCATCCTTGGGGCCATCTCAGTGGCATATGAACCATTAGGCTGGTCCAAGGTTTAGAACAGGGATGGGGAACACTTTTCAACCTGAGGGGCCACATTTCTTTCTGAGCAACCTTCTGAGGGCCACATGGCCTCAGACATGGTCAAACCACAAATGTAAAGCAGACTAGCTTCTACAAACGTCTGCGCACACACTCTCTCAGACAAAGAAGAGGCTGCAGCAGAGTTCAAGGATACATTCCAGCCAGGCAAAACTCTCTGTTCAAAGCAGGGTCCATGAGAGGTGTGGCCTGGAGTGAGGGGTGTGGCCTGGGAAGAGTTCCAAGGGTCAGATGGAGAAGCTTGGTGGGTGCATTTGGTCCCTGACCCTGAGGTCCCCCACCCCTGGTTTAGAATAGAAGAGGAATGAGGGCAAGGGGAGCTCAGCCTTCTCCATGCCCCCAGCTTGATATATCACTGTAGCCACTCTTTTACCTTCCAGATCCAAACTGTACATGTTACTGATGTTAGGAAGAGATGGGAGATGAAGATCAGGGCTGGGGTGTGTAGATTAGGGGGGTGCATTTCCTTGTCCACTTTAGGTCCTTCCAAGGGCCACCTGCCTGAAGCTGCTATTACTTCGGGAGGGAAGCGCCAATTGGTTAGCTGCTTTCTTCCAGCTGATGAAGGTGAATATGAATCGAAACAGGGCCCTGTCCTGGTTTCTGATCCATAATTGACTTCTGACTTCTGCTCAATGATTGAAACTAAGATCTTCACGTCAAATCTTACTATGGACTAACATGAACTTATCTCTACTCATAAACTCTTATTTTTAATACTGTAACGAATTATTGTGTTATACATATCCTTATATAGGGACGCGGGTGGCGCTGTGGGTTAAACCACAGAGCCTAGGACTTGCCGATCAGAAGGTTGGTGGTTCGAATCCCCGTGACGGGGTGAGCTCCCGTTGCTCGGTCCCTGCTCCTGCCAACCTAGCAGTTCGAAAGCACCTCCAAGTGCAAGTAGATAAATAGGTACCGCTCCAGCGGGAAAGTAAACGGCATTTCCGAGCGCTGCTCTGCTTCGCCAGAAGCGGCTTAGTCATGCTGGCCACATGACCCGGAAGCTGTACACCGGCTCCCTTGGCCAATAAAGTGAGATGAGCGCCGCAACCCCAGGGTCGGTCACGACTGGACCTAATGGTCAGGGGTTCCTTTACCTTTACCTTACATATCCTTATGAGTTTGAGTTTGTAATATCTGTTTGAGTTTGTAATCTTTATTTGAGTTTGTAATCCTTGTCAGAATACATGCTTTTGAATGGATTAGTTTTTGTTACAGTTGACTATTGATTTGCGAGTAGGGGCCACTCCCACTATTGAAACTTATATTGGCCAGAGTTCTTGGTGTGCTTTTTTCTTCCTGTGGACAGCAGTGGCAGTTCTAGGGAGGAAGGCCATTTTCCTCTGGTTTGTGGCAGTGGAGGAAAGTGGAGGAATACAGGCCTGCCTTATTCCAAGTCAGACCTAGCTTAGTGGCAGGATGTTCGGATCCAGAATTGGCTTCCACAGTCACTTACGGACACACCATTAAGACCATGTTCATGGAAGACAATCTTACTTGGCTACGAGTGATTGCCAAAGCTAAGCTAAGTGAGGTGTATACCAGCCTTGCCCATCCTGGCGTTCTCCAGATGATTTTGGATCACAGCTCCCATCATCCCCAGCCAGCATGGCCAATGGCTATGGGGGTTTATAGTCCCACAGCATCTGAAGGGCACCAGGTTGGGGAAGGCTGCCTTAAGTGTCTGAACTCCCACATAGAAACACATGCTTTTCTGAACCAGGCTCTCCTATCTGCAGCTAGCTGCATGCAGTTGCTGTATTGCTCAGGGCTGTGGCAGCAGGTGTGGTTCCGTCTTCACACTACATGCACATGCCATCCATCTTCATCCAGGATTTCATGGGGCTAGTCAACTCTGCCATACGCATTGCAACTGGTTGTGGATCTGCTTCCAGTCTGCATGTCCAGTTCCTCATCCAGTGAGATGATGTGTTCATGGAAATCTAATTCTGGTATAAGAGTACTTTAAGTATGGTGATATAAGCTAAAGTAAAGTACAGCCCAGAGCTGTGGAGTTATGAATAACCCACACTGCAATATCAAAACATCCCCTTTCCATTTCAATTCTTATTTGAAAGTCAGCCTTAATTATTTTTGAAATTGGTTATGCTGCCTTGTGTTGAGTTTTACCTTTATGTAAATACATGACTTTGCACCAGTAGTTTCATCATGTACACATTATCTGCATACCCACCTGACACTTTCTAAAGCCTCCTTGTTGTTGTTACTGCACACTGTCCATATAGTGCAAACGACTGAAAGCAATTAAAAAAACAAACATATTTGCAAATATCTAGTACTGCTGGAAGACAAACTCTGCATTTTTGCACTCGGTAGCCTGGGGTACCCTTCTCAGTTAATAGGTTCAGGCCCAGCAATGGACTCTAGAGATCTGCATTCCAAGTGTGCAAGCAGAAGAGGACACAGCTTTCTATATACAAACAGTTGCTGAGATCTTCATACTGTTGCATTTTTCTCATGTCTGTTCAGAAGTCTCAAAGTCCTTCCACTTGAGTTTAAAAAAGCAGTTTTACAGCTTTGACATCATTTCTTTTCTAAAGGGAAATGATCATGGAAGTGCGACATTTCTCCTTTAATGGCTCTTTGTGGCAAAGTGCATACTGACATCCAGACACAAGCATGTGCACCCCACTGGTGCATGCAAGTACAAGGACCCCCCCACACACATTCTCTCTCTCTTTTAGATAGCCAAATAGGACACAGCATGGAACAGAATTCTTTTCTACTCCCCCCCCCCCAACAACCTACCACATGCCACAATGTGAGGCATACAAAACCCATGTATTATACCCAACAAATGCAGCTATTTCCCATTAACCATGCGTATTGGATAACTGTTGCTTTTTCTGCCAATGCCCCAGTTCCATCAATATTTTCCTAATTTAAATGACATACTGTAGAGATCTTTGGTATGAATCATTTCATAATTGGATACGCTAAAATAATAGATTCAACGGTGCCCTGTTGGTTTCAGCAGCAAATATTGATTTCCCCACCCCCCTCTCCCTCGTATATAGCTTTCTGGGCCATGCAAGACTGACGCTTTCACCAGCATTTGTCCGTTCTTACAAGTATCAGCCCCTTTTGAACCAACACCCACAGTTAATGCAAACGGTGTGTGCTGCTGAGAGAGTTTCAGAATGATGCCAAAAGTGTGAATGGTTTCAGAACTCACAGAGTTAAAGAGTTCTGGTGACGTCTCTTTCCTGAGGCGTGGTTAGAAACACTTAAGGGAGGGGTTTGACTCCGTGTGTTTCAGTCTGACTTTCGGACGTGATGCGAAAGGGAGAATGTGTCAGTTCTCGCCAGGTCTGAATTTATGATGTTATTCTTCATGATTAAAAGGCAAGAGTAGATAAGGACTGCCTTGTGTCTGGACTGATTTATTCCACACGTGCTGCACTCTGCTTCTCACCGCTGTGTTTCGCTCTGCTACCGGCAAGAGAGAGAGGCCTGAGGAGGACTTTTGCAGGAAGCACGGATAGCTTGCAGAGTTCCGCAACGGAAGCGTGCCGGGCTCCATGTTCAGTCTCTGTGTACCCTCTTGTCCGGTGTAAATAATTCCAACAGGTTATGGAAGCTCGCCAAAGCTTTGAAGCATTGCAGGAACGTCCCACGTGTGGGGAAGCCAGCAGGAAAGTTGCTGGGGTCCAGCTGGAGCTCTGGAGCTGTGTCTTTGAAGCTGGAAGGAGCTCGCTGGGGAGAAGCGATCTGCCGGAGCCGGGAGGCGGAGAAAGCTACTGCCGGGAGACGTGAGTAAGCTTAGCCCCCGGGGAGGAGATGGCAGACGATCGTGAATCATTCTCAGTTCCCTTTGAGAAATTAAATGGACAAAATTGGGCCGAATGGAGCCGGAAGCTAAAGGCCTGGCTGGTAGCCAAGGGGTTGTGGGAGGCGACCCAGGGGCCCCTCTCCCACCACCTGCAGCAGGAGCAGCAGCAGCGGACATAGCGGCTGCTCACGCGTCGCAGAGGAAAACCAGAAAGCCCTGGGAGCTATAGTGCTCAGTTTGGAGGGTTCCCAACTTCCTCTGGTTGAAGGGCTTGAGACTGCTCAGGAGGCCTACCAAGCCCTTGAGAGGGTGCACCACAGAACCACGGCTGGTGCAAAGATCCACACCACCAGACGCTTATTTGAGATGAAGCTGCGTCCCGGTGGGAACATCAGACAGCATGTTACTGAGATGCTTTCTGTTTTCAATGAGTTGCGCCTGTTACAGGTCAACTTTTCAGAAGAGCTGAAGGTTTATATTTTGCTCAGCTCTCTGGACAAAAGTTATGACAATTTGTGTCTGTCTATGGAATCGATGAGTCCACAGGATTTGACGCTATCGTACGTGACAGGGCGTCTTTCGGACGAACAGGAGAGGCGTGTCCGAGAAGGCAGGTCTGGCGCAGGCAGCTCCACCGGTTGCAGAGGTGGGGGCAAGCCAGATGAGAGCTGTGTTCAGGCTTTTTCCACTCGTCGATGTTATGTCTGTGGATCCAACAGCCATCTAAAACGGGCTTGTCCGCAGAAGAGCAGAGAGGCCGGGCAGGATGTCTCCAAGGTCAACCAGCTGAGTTCTCATGGGAACCAGTCTCGGAGAGGAGGCCAGCGTGGGAACGCGAAGGAGGGACGTGACTCAGAGAAGGGAGACTGTTATCATCTCGCGGCTTCTCTGGCAACTTTGAACAACAATGCCAGCAGGGACACAACTATGAAGTGGGTGCTGGACTCAGGAGCGAGTCATCACCTGATAACGCCATCTGCTGGGGAGCTGCAGAATTGCAGGGCTGTTTTAACTGGAATGACTTGTAAATTTGCTGACGGGAAAAAACGAAATGTATCTAAAGTGGCAAATGTCTATAATTCTGTTTTGCAGGCTGAGCTGGAGTGCTTCATTGTACCAGGGATGAAGTGTTGCCTGTTATCGGTTTCTGCTCTGGCGAAGCAGGGATACAAAATTTGTTTTGAAAATAACACCTGTTCCATTTTCAGAGGGGGAGGCAACTTGTCAACGTGGAGAGCAAGGACAATCTCTTTGTTCTGGAAACACCTCTGGAGGGTGGTGGGAATGCAGGGAAAGCACAGGCGCAGTGTGCTAGTGTTCCCAGCCATGATTCATGTGTTCATGTATGGCACAAGAGAATGTCTCATGCTTGTCTGGAGGATGTTAAGAGGCTGCCAGGCTGCACCGAAGGATGTAAAATCACACCATGTGAGAGATCCCTAGTGTGCAGGGCATGCAGCAAGGTTCAAAGGTGCAGGTTTCCCGGGGTAAAGAGGGTAACCACAAAACCTTTTGAGTTGATTCACACAGATCTGTCAGGACCCATGAGGTGTGAGAGTCTGGGTGGGGCCAAGTATGTGCTATCGCTGACAGATGACCACAGCCAGGTTGGCTGGTGTTTCTCTCTCAAATCACAGGGGGAGGCGGCGCAACTGATCCAGGATTGGGTTGCGGAGGTGGAACGAAGGTTTTCCACCAGGGTGCAAGGGTTCAAGAGCGACCGAGGGTCACAGTTTACTGGGTCTGCTCTGGAGGAGTTTTTCAAGGAAAAAGGAATACGTCACCACGTGACGGGTGCAAAGTCTCCTCAAGGGAGAGGCGTGGCACAGCACAGGAGTGAAACACTGGCTGAAGCTGTCAGAGTTTTGCTGGGTGACTCTGGGCTGCCTCAGAGCTTTTGGAGTGAAGCTTGGAAAGCTGCCAACTTTGTTTTTAACAGGTCCTACAATCACGATGTAGGTGACACACCGTATTTTCTGTTGCACAAGAGGAAGCCACAGGTGCATTTCTTCCGTTCGTTTGGTTCCAAGGCTTCAGTGCCAATACCAACAGCGCAACGGAAGAAGGATGGTCCTAGGTACCAGGACATGATCTTCTGTGGGTATGATCCTGCAACAAATGGGTGGAAGTTTGCATACCCAGAGGGTGATCAGACCACGCTGCTGGTCAGCAAGCATGCTGAGTTCTTTGAGCAGGATGGTTGGTCACAGCCTAGGTATGGTTCTGATTTTCTCTCAGACTGCTTGTCCGATTCTGAGGGGGAGGAAAAGGAGGAAGAAAGGGAGGAAGGAGAGGCAGAGGCGGAGCCTGTTGCTGAAGACCAGGTTGCTGATGATGGTCAAGCACAGGGGTGGGTTTCTCCACAGGTTAAGAGGGAACCCAAGAGTGAGCCTTCATCTCCTGTTAGCCAAGTGCAGGAAGCCCGAAGACGCAGCAAGTCAGAGGGGAGTCTTCTGAGCTTGCTGGAGACACACTTGCTGACCCCAGTGGGTCAGGAGGAGCGCCTGAGGTTGTGCTCCGGCGGTCAACTCGGACCACAAAGGGGATTCCACCGGAGAGGTTTCAGGTCACCAGTGCGTGGGTTGGTTTCGCACAGTGTGATTCTGGGAGTGTGGAAGGGATTCAACAATTGCCTGGGATGGATGCCAGTGGGAGGCAAAAGGCAATGGGAGGTGAGTTGAACTCAAAGAGGTCTGTAAATAGGGGTTCACAGTTTCCCTCAGGATTCGTGACGAGAGGGGTGTGAATGGTTTCAGAACTCACAGAGTTAAAGAGTTCTGGTGACGTCTCTTTCCTGAGGCGTGGTTAGAAACACTTAAGGGAGGGGTTTGACTCCGTGTGTTTCAGTCTGACTTTCGGACGTGATGCGAAAGGGAGAATGTGTCAGTTCTCGCCAGGTCTGAATTTATGATGTTATTCTTCATGATTAAAAGGCAAGAGTAGATAAGGACTGCCTTGTGTCTGGACTGATTTATTCCACACGTGCTGCACTCTGCTTCTCACCGCTGTGTTTCGCTCTGCTACCGGCAAGAGAGAGAGGCCTGAGGAGGACTTTTGCAGGAAGCACGGATAGCTTGCAGAGTTCCGCAACGGAAGCGTGCCGGGCTCCATGTTCAGTCTCTGTGTACCCTCTTGTCCGGTGTAAATAATTCCAACAAAAAGTATCCTTTTTTGGGGGGGAGGGGACCTGACTGATACTATGATTTGTTTTATGATAATCAAAGTTATCAAGAGAGCCAGCCCTTCAAAGATAGGACTGCGTGGCTGATCCTTTAAAGGTACTTTGCCTCTAGGTTCAGCTTTAATCGTTTTCATTCTGTGTTGCTCAATTTGCCCTCATATGTTTCTCCTTTAGATAACATTACTTGTACAAATTCCAACCTTAGCTGGATTGGTAAGACTCAGAGGGTCTTTATGGCATTTCTTATATAACAGATCTAGGGATGGGCTAATCTATCAATTTCATTTCTCCCCGTTGCTCTTTTTCCCCCAATCTTAAGTTTGTTATTGACATTCCCGCATAAGGTTGTAATTTTGTTTTGTTTTTTAAAAGCTCTTCAATAATTTTCATCTGCATTATAGTGCGTGTTTCTCCTGATCTACACATTTTGATATGCATTTTTTTGCAAGCAATTTTCTGCCATATTTTGTATGTTATTCTCAACAATATAGTTTTATTCTATTATAATTATTTATCATTTATTGAGTTTAAATCCTGCCCAAAGGAGGGCTTTTCCACTTATATACACATTTTATGTACATATTATCTGATTGGACTACTCCATTGTAAAAGTTGGAGAGGTTCGCATATGGTTTCAGGAGGTGTGAATTAGGTAGGTTTATGTTCAAATGCAAATCAAAGCAAAATTTTCCCTCATTCCTAAACAGAGTTCAGCTTAACTTTTTGTGCGTTGCATCTTTTCAGTGTGTGTTTCCCTGTCCTCAAGTCCCCTAAGCTGAAGAAATATGAAGAGCAAGTGGTGATTGAATAAATATCAAAGGTTGGTTTGTTGGGGAATAAGGAATAGCATGGGGAGGTTGAATTTGCTTCAGTTTGGTGCCTTGTCTATGGCTGCAAGCATTTGGGTAGAGGAGGCAATTGGAGTTAGAACAGAAAACAGTCACAGTAGCACCCAAGTAAATTATGTCTACCCTCTTCTATGTTTGGGTACATAGTAGAATGAGAAGTAAAATCAATTCCAAACACACAGACTCCACATACTGGCAATACTTGTTGCTGTTGAGAGCTATCTTATGAATATAAATGTTTCCCTGATAGAGATGGCCCATGCTCATTTTGTGATTGCAAAGTTCAGCTTAAGTGATTTTGGAGCAAAGAGTTTCAAGAGTAGGGACAATATTGTTTAGCTTGTTAGTAAAACCCTGAAACATTCAAAAGAAGAGATCTTGACTCCAACTATGCTTGAACAGCTTGATATTTGTTTTATGCTTTTTTCAGAATTGCATCATAGTATGGCCAAGGCGTGCGCACACACACAGTGGCTCTCCCTGAAAAGAGAGATGTTTTGGAATATTGCCTGTTCATTTTCTGGATGCATGGAAGTTTTTATATATATATGCTGGCATTGTTCCTTTCCTAAACTAGCAATATTAAGCTACATTTAGGTCATGGTGTTTTTCTCCAAGTAGGAATGGAAATGGATGTGGAACAGAACACCTAACTATATGCATTTATAATGCTCTTGTGCACACATTTCATTGGAAATTAGTCCCGCCATGTTCAGTGGGGCTTACTGCCTGGTTAGTGTGTTCAGGACTGCAACCTTAGTTGGGAAACAGACTTCCTCTCTGTATTTGCATTGTTAGGGACAAAGAAACATAGGAACATAGTAAGCCCACAACTTATGCAGCCCTGTATAAGTAAACTTTTTAAGGTTTAATGTTTTACTATGTTTTTATATATGATGGAAGCCACCCAGCAGCTGGGGCAGCCCAGTTTGCTGGGAAGGGTACAAATAATTATTATCATCATCATCAACAACAACTTTATTCAGGGGTTACATTCCAGTGATTGTGCCTAAAGCCAACATCACTTATAGTCAAAACACATTGGGTTCAATGGCGGGTGAGATTATCAGTGTCTTTCCAATCATCCCCTTTCTTTCCCTTTTCTTTCTTTCCTCTTTCTTTCAATATTTTGCCCAGTGTGCAAAGCTGAGTGTGCACAAGTTAAATGTGCATATATTGTGGGCTTAGTGTATTAAGTCAGACCATTGGTCCATGTAAATAGCTCATACCTGCCTACACCAGGAATTTTGAACCTGTGGCCCTCTAGATGTTTTTGGACTCCCAGCAGCCCCAGCCAGATACAGTGGTACCTCGGGTTAAGTACTTAATTCATTCCGGAGGTCCGTACTTAACCTGAAACTGTTCTTTACCTGAAGCACCACTTTAGCTAATGGGGCCTCCTGCTGCTGCCACGCCGCCGGAGCACGATTTCAGTTCTCATCCTGAAGCAAAGTTCTTAACCTGAAGCATTATTTCTGGGTTAGCGGAGTCTGTAACCTGTAGCGTATGTAACCCGAGATACCACTGTATAGTTCAGCAAATTCTGAAGATTCTCCACTCACTAAACATCAGAAAAAAAACTTTCTGACAGTAAGAGCTGTTCGACAGTGGAATGGACTCCCTTGGGAGTCTACCTTCCCTGGAGGTTTTTAAGGTTTTAAAGCAATGGTTGGATGGCCATCTGTCATGGATGCTTGAGCTGAGATTCCTGCATTGCAGGCGGTTGGACTAGATGACCCCTGGGGTCCCTTCCAACTCTACAATTCCATGAACACATAGAATGGTTTGTCCTAGAAAAGCAGCATCAAAGCCCTTCTCAACTATGAAGAAGGAAACAAATCACTACCTTTTGACCTAACCTACTATGTACATATTGTTGTGCAGCTGGAATAAGCTAATCCTGAGATCCTTGGAGGAAATATGATGAATATGTAATGACAAATAAAAGAAATATGTTTAAGTTGTGGATGTCATCCAAACTTCCTGTACTGAGTTTGAGGCATGCAAGTGAAGACTAAGTAGTGGGCTGGCAGGGAAGAATGGTATGTTGGAGAGCATTTAGCTCAGACACCGCACCCTCAGAAATGTCCTTGATAACAGCTGGGACCACCTGGAACCTCCCTTTCATTTTCAGACATTGTTAAAGTGCTCATTGCCATCTTTTTTTTAATTGGCCCAGCTGGGAGTTATCCTCCTCCCCCCCTTTTTCAATTTCCAAAAATACCCTTGGCTCAGAGACTATGGCAGGCATGCGCGCATGAGTTCAGAGGAAGCATCGCTCTGTGCACTCCTCTAAGTACAGTAGAAGGGTGAACAGTACTTTTGCTTTATAAAATATTGTAAATGCTGGAAAGCAGATTCCAGTGTCTCCAGTCCGTGCTCTCTCCCCACAAAGAAGAGGTTGAATAGTCTACTGTGTGCTGTGCACGCCTGTGTCCTCTTGGTATCTGGCTGCATACCTGGAGTCTTCCAGAAGAAGTTGGCTGGCTTGCTATGACAAAAGGATGTCCATTTCATTAGATAAGTGGCAGTTAAGGCACTGTGATAATGCAGTGGTTGAGAATGCGCCACCCAAAATAAATGTGGGGGCAGTTACGTGAGACAGGACTCCCTTCATGATGGCTTCCAACTTGGGTGCAGTTGTCCCTTTTATTACTGGCCTTCAGACACAAGGTAAAGATTTGTTTACTAAATGTTCGTTACGTAATTTAACTTAACAGTTGATTTCAATTTTTTGTAAACTTCTTAGAAGTTCCATGTACAATTGGGTAGTATATAAATGTTAAATTTAATTAAATTACTCACCCAGCTTGGGAATCTTGATCAGGGAGGTTTTTAAATGTTTACTTATTGGGGGGGAATCATAGGCCACTACATATTAGAGAATGTTTAAGTGGCAGACAAATGTGCAGGAAATCTTAAAATAAAATCAGTTAAACTTAAAGCATCATAAAATTATAAACATTAAGATACAGCATCAGGAAAAGGTACAAAATTCAGCCTTAAGGATCAGGAAAGGCCAGAGCAAAAGAAATTATGTTTTTAAGAGGCCCCTAAAAGCAGGCAACTGTTGGTGCCTCATGAATTACAGAGGAAAGAACATTCTATAGTACAAGGGCAACTGTAGAGAACACCCACTTTTGAATTGCAACCCCAAAATAATCTGTGGAGCATGGTGCCACCAACAGGGTTTCTCTTTTGATGACTAAAGTGGTCAAAAGGGCCTATAAAAGGGAACATGTGGAAGAAACTTGTCACCTCCTACAGCACATTTCGCATAATTTGCTAAATGCATGGAGGCTGGAGGATGCAGCCAACAGCATGTTCAGTACATACCTGAACATACAGTACAGCATGTTCAGTACATACCTGTGCATGGAATGGGCTATGAAACCAGGTTTGGAGCTGGCCCTTTTTCTTTTTGCTGATCTATGCGCCAGAGGCAATAAAATGATTTCTACAATTTGACCCTGTCCAAACGGTCCTCCATCAGCTCCCACAACCAAATACACACCAGTAACCTGTACAGCACCACACTGCAATGCTTTATAAGTCAGCCATCTGAAAGTAATAGCAATTTATATCCTATCTACCAAAACCACTGCTGTGTTCTTTACACTGGTTAAGAAGGCTTTTCTTTCCCAACCAAAGAAGAGTGGCAACTTAAGTTGACAGAATATGTGCAGCTTCCAGACGTAACATATAGAATAAGAGAACAAGAAGAACATACGTTTCGAGAAGACTGGAAAACGTTTATTGAATATACAGGAAATAACTGTGTACAGCTGAAAACGCTGGCAGCATTAAGATAAATTCAGCAGTGTAAATAAGTTTTGATGGATGTAATAATGGAATACTGAATGGTATCGTTTCTGTAAAATATGCAGGGATTTATGATATGTAAAAATGAACCATGGAAAGAGAAAAAGGGAAGTCATATCTTAAGGATATAAAAATGAGTACTTTAAATTGTAAAACAGAAAATTTTATTATATATATATATATATGGGGCTTTTCTTGTGGTGTGACCCATTCTATTATGGAACATTGACTGTGCATCTGTAGAAATGTATTTATTATTTTTAGAGTTTGTAGGAATAGTATCATCGATTTTAAACTTTGTAGAATGGGTTTGTTGAATTAGAACTTGCATTTAAAAAATATTTTGTCTCATTTTTATCTTATTGTATACCGCTTGTATGGCTTTAGGCTGTGAAGTGGTTTATAAATTATAAAACAACAACAATGCCTACCTAGCCGGGGGGAGGGGAACCACCGCTTTCCATAGAGTTCACTGCAGAGTCAGCTAAGAAAACCTTGTGCTTCCTAGTTCTGGCAAAGGTTTTGGACATTTCAAAGGGCTTGATAAACAGCAGCAATAGCCTCGCCTCCCACACATTAAAGCTTCATCAACGACATTATGTGAAAAGAAGAAAAAGCTGGCAACACAGCAAAGCAAAGGGTAAGGTGTTCCTCGGATGGGTCAAGGTGCTCTAAGTTCCTCTCTCTGCACTGAAATAACAGCAGTTTTTCTGGCAGGAGAACATCTCTAATCTCCGTCTATTCCGAAGAGGCACATCTGTTCACAGTTATGGGTCAGTGCCCATACAGGAAGTGTAATGTTCTGCGCACAGAAAATAGACTCTGGATTAAGGAGATACAGAAAAGCTTTTAAAATAAAATCTTCCTTAAGTGGACTGGATGATAAAGTGGATCCAGCTCAGATCCATAAAAGAGTTAAAGATTTCCAATTTGATAAACATCTAGAAAAAAATGGTGCAGGCAGAGCCCCGTCCAGTTTCTGTTTTCTGCTGCTTAAGCATGAATTGGCTACAATCATGACTGCGGAGAGTGAACCATAGAAGGAGAGAAACTGGCTTAGATATACCTCCTGGGAGTGGAGGTGCTCAGTTACATCCCCTCCATTTCTATGTACAGTACCTCCAAAGGCCATTAAGTCCATTTCCTTCCAGCTTTGTGCATTTTGCCCAGTGATTTATGAGTGCTAAATTTTGAATGGCAGAACCACATCATGACAGACCCCAAGACCACACTCTCAAGGAAATTTAAAAAATGCAGGCAGCTGTATTGACTGATGGACTATCGATCTAGCCATCCATCTATGCACATTAAAGAGCAGCATTATATAGAGCACAATATCCTATTTATTAGGATCAGTGCTTAATTTTCAGGGGATACTCAAAGGAACACAGTACTGGCACCTCTTTTGTTTGTTGTTAAAAAGTGTGGCATTCACTGTAACAGCTTCATGGTGAGAACCAGGACCTATTTTTCTAGGGGGAAAAGCACTGATGAGGATACACATAAATGCAAACCTGGGAAAAGTTTGAGAGTAAACTCCATTGAACTCAGTGGTGCTTGCTTCTGACGATATAGGTTCCTCTCATAAAACACACTGAGCTTTCACAAAAGGTCATCAGCCAACTCAAATGAAACCTTTGCCTTCAAATTAGAAATGCAAATGATCTTGCAAAGAAATGCTACCATTTGAATGATTAGCATGAAGGAGGAACCCCATGAAAAGGAAATAGATGTTTAGCCTCTGCTTGACTACTTTACTCATTCTCTGATTTCATTATTGCTCACCTGTCACCTATTGCTTCCTAAGAAGTAATATCCTATCATGTCTCTCAGGAAGTCCTAGCCTATATCTGATCACTGTAATGGCGATATTGGAGAAATGAAGATAAGGCATGAAGATAGGAAATGAGGCATGGGTTATAAGTACAATAATATGAACGTAGGCTAAGGAGTCAAGACTATTGCTGGAAGGTCACAGGTAGGCCTGCACCAGCAGTAAACCAGGTTGGGCACTGGTCAAGGGTCCCAGTGGCTCAGAATGGCTTCTGACTCAGTGAAGCTGCCTTACCACCCTTCTCCCCACATTGGGAAGGTGTCAAAGCAGTTTTTCTGGAAGCCAAGATCAGCTACCATCTGCTGTGGCCACAAAAGAGGGGAAATAATTTTGGCTTCCAAAAACATGGCACTACTGCTCACCCAGTACACAATGCCCAGGGGCCTAGTGAGGAGAGTGGTCAGTGTTGCTGTTGTCATCATGGTGGCAGGAAAAAAGGAGGGCAACTACATTTGTTATGGAGGTGTCGGTTGTGTATGTGTTGGGTGAAGGTAGAGAGGCCCATTGGTGGCATTGTGCTGAGGTCTGATGCTTACCGTAGCCACAGGTTGTTCATTCCTGGTTTAGAACATTTAAATCTCTCCTTTCTTTCATGATAGAACTCAAGACAGCATTCAAAGGATTTCCAAATGGTCACCCAGCCAGGCACTGGCTGGACACAGATCTGCTTAGCTTCAGCAGGTGGCTGCATCATGTGCTCTCAGAGAAGAAAAGGCAAAATGTAATTTTAAACTCATCTTCCTTTTCTCTAAACTGCATCCTTTAAGTTATGTCAGAGTTTGTGCTAAATGTACACACATTTTACATTTTTACTCAACCCAGTTGCAAAAAGCATTAGGATGAAAATCTCTCTCTCTCTGTGTGTGTGTGTGTGTTTCTAAAAGATAGATGAATGCTGGAAACCAACCCAATTGCATTAGCAACAAGACGTTTTTTCCTCATGACAATAAGCATAAGAACATCCAAAATGATGCAACTTTGAGATAAACAATGAAGTTTGCCAAGAATCTCATTTTTAGCCTAAATCTGGTCAGTAGAATTAAGTGAGCATTCAAAGCCAGGCCCCACTTAAATCAACGGAAATTCTTATTTCTTACTTCAGTGAAATTAGCTTTGATTGAGAAATTACTTTTATCAATGTATTCTCACTAAGGGCAATACAATTTTTTTTTTAATGGAAGTAAACAAACAGGTTGGCCTGCTAATGGGATATTCATACCTAGATCTCAAGCTCGGTTACTAGGCACAGGTTCTGGTGGCATTTCATTATTACAGCATAAACAATATAAGTGTGATCAGATA